CAGAGGCAGAGAAGCCATGTTGGTTTAAAGTTGTTAGAACATCACAGACAAATATGTGATTCATTAAGTGTGAAAAGAACATTAAATGGTGGGGTTGAATACTTACCAAAGGCCTTAGCCACATCTCCTGGGCAACTACAGCCACCGTCCTGAGAAGAGTGAGGATGCCCTCTAGTGGCTATTACTATTATTGTCAACATTAGAAACTATTAGAGCCTTTTATGTAACAGCATATTATGGACTCCTGTTACATTTTAAAGCAAAAAAAGGCCCAAAAAAAAATCAAAGCAATCTATTTAGTCACTGTGCATAACCCTCTTTAGATGATTATTTATCCATAATGTCGGTTATCACCCAGGCTATAGTGTTGATCTAAGGGTCCTTGGTTATGTTTGTCAGGACTCTATCCGGTACGTTGATAGACATTTCAATAGCTTCACACGAACAAAAAGCTAATGATGAACTCCTCTCCAACAGCACAATAAGATAGTGTTACCATTTAATATGTACAGTATATATACACTCTACATGATACTAACTTCAGCAACTCTGGCTGTCCGTTGGTGTTTGTTTGTGCCTTGATGTGAGACTTGCAGAGATAATGTGTCCTTTGAGTCCGTGGGCTGCACACTCTATTACGCACTGAGTTGTGGGTAGCCCACTCCTGTCTTGATCGTTGTCGTGCACACAGACCCTGCAATGCACAGTTCACAGTGTACGCATTAGAGAAGTCCATCGCCACCGTCTGTGTGTAATTTCAGCTGCTGTAGCTGCAGGAGCCCGTTATCTTTCAGGTCTGGTAGTGTCAGTCCAGGTTTCTACTCCACAGGCTAGAAAACAGCACCGTCTCAATGCCCAGGCCCGGAGGGGATTTATCAAACTTTATAGCAAAACAGAATAATTGATAATAGAGCTCTTTCTTCTTGTTAAAGTTGTCATTTTACAATGATCTGCTAAAACCAGTTCTGCTGCATTGAAGGCTAATCTGCTGGTAATAAAACCATGTTTCACCCTATTTGCAACAGTCACTGCACAGTAAGAGGCACTTTATGAGTCTAGCACAAACTAACCTTGCTGATAAAGGCTGATGTGTGTGTTTGCGTTCCTGCCTGTTTCCCATCTTAGTTGTGTTTGTGTTCACATGTGAGGCCTGTGCAGTTTTTTGTTGATTTAGGGGGAAAACACTACTTGGGCTATTTGTAGACATGCTCAAGACAGTCGTACCCACCTGGGCCGATGCCAACTTTGATGATGTCAGCACCGGAGAGGATGAGCTCCTCCACCATCTCCCCTGTTACCACGTTACCGGCCTGCAAAGCCAGGCAGCATTAGCCCCAAGACACAGTCTCGCAATACAACGCATCCCAGAACAGCCCGTGTCTCTTACCATGATGGTGTGCTTGGGAAACGTTTCCCTGACCGTCTTGACAAACTCCACAAAGTACTCAGAGTAGCCGTTTGCCACATCCAGACAGATGTACTTGAGGGCGGGGACTGCTTCCAAAATGGCACAGATCTGCAACGCTGCTGCCTGAGCTGGCGGCTATATGCTAGTGAGAAAAGCCGTGTTTGCCATTTAGGGGAAGCGCCTTGTGAATAACAAAATGTGTGCAGTTACTGTCGATTATGAGGAACAACCGACATAAAAAAAATAATGGTAAACATCTCTATTACCTCTAAGCATTCTGGATGATTAGCAGCAAAGTTTTTCCAGTCCTCTACAGAGTATTGTTTATGGATGGCTGTGAAGAGTGTGCTGCAGAGAAAGAAGGAAAGAAAGATGGAATGATTTAACACTAAAAAAGAGCTGCATTCCCATTCTTGTCTGTTTATTAGTGATATTTCTTCCATCATGGTGTTGAAAAGAAAACAAGTATCATCCCACAAGCTAGCGGATTCTATGTCAAATACAAAGAGATTGTGCATAGATCGTGGCAGTGACACACGGAGACAAACACAGTGATGCTGTTATTTCTCCGTCTTCCATTCAGTTGTGTTAACTCACTTTGCTGAGGACCTGTGCCATCTCAAACGTCCCTGTGGTGTCCACGTTGGCAGCGATGATGGGGATGCCTGTGTAGGTCTGTTTGGAGTTGCGGAATGTGAAGGTCCTCTGAAGGTCCACCTGAACATTAATCATAGCCGACTAGGAAAGATGGATTCTGTGTTTTCTCTCGAGCTGACTGAGAGACAGCGCAGACTTTCTTGAGAATGTGAGCAGCTCACGTGGCTCACGTTCAGAGTCTTGATGGGGATGCACTGAATCATTAAGATCCAGTGATTAGCTTAGCCGGTGCTGCTCTAATGTGATAAGCTACATGAAACAAGCAGGGCCCATTGTGACACACTCGCTGCTCCCTTTACAGGACAGTATACGTGTACTGATAAATCAAGCTGTGATTCCTTCCAAAAAAAACATCTGCCATAATTATATAAATATTTATTCTGATGAGTTAACATGACTTAACTGCTGAACTGTTAGCTACTCAGTATGAGTGGAGGTTATGCACATGTGTTCCTCTAAAGTGAGTCACAAAGAGGAACATCCATTTCTTTTTAAAAGTACTGACAGCAGATTGACTTTGACTCTTCTTTACTTGTGCTACTGTTTCACTGTGTTTTATATACCAGTACCTTTTAATGTTATCACATAGTCTTGTTGTAGAAGTCATTTAGAGAAGGTATATTGTATTATTAGCATGCTTGATACTTTAAACCTGGGAAACCACAGGGAAGGTTAGATGAACAGTTTTATAATGAAAAGTGAAGTTTTAAACAGATTTTAAGCCTTCAAACTGATTGCATATACTAAAATCCCAAAATTTCATAGTGCTGAGAGCTTTAGTTGAGTAGTGGCAAGACATTTATTATGCCACAGCAAAATGAGGCTAGAACTCACAATGGCGGCAGAAAGAGGAAGGTGGGGAAAGGAGTATGGATGAGAAGGGAGGAGCATACGGTTGTGCAAATGCATTGTATTGCTGCAGTAAATCAATACAGGCTGAAGTGACCGATTCCAGCAACTAGCCGCTCGGCTGGGTGCGGGACAAGATCCTGTTCCTTACTTGCTACAACAAAGAGATTCCAGTAAATAAAATTAAACAAATAAATAACAATTCAGTACATTTTTGTCTATGTATTTATTTGTCTCATTTTGTTTTTCAAAGCTAGGAAAGCAATGTTTAAGTCAAGCCTGGGGGGGGGGGGGGAAGTAATTCATTAGTCTTGGATTGTGGGCAATTGGATTATAATACTTTTCTTTGTAATTGTGTTTTTATATTCATCTTTACTTGATCAAATGTGTTTTTTAAAATAGTTAATACATCTGTTTCATATTTTGTTTTAGAATTTCATAAACTATTCACATGAAAGACAAGAAAATACATCAAAGTTGAACCATGTAGTGCACCTGCAGCTGTGATCCCTTCTGTTTAGAGCGTATCGCATCGTCTATTATTACATTTTCTATTGTAAAAGATCCCTTCCTCTCAAAAATGTGTGTGGAAATCTTCCAGTGCGCATAGACTGAGAATGGATTTTTCAGTGGACTGGGAGACATCTTTCGCGCAAAATTAACATAACAGTTTTAAGTGAAATTATCGAAATAGAAATGAATAAAATGTCCAGCTATACACTGACACAGTTTGATTTAACTACCCTGGGGTATTCCAATAAGACATTGAGTCTAATGGAGCAGTTGGTTGGGTTAGGGTTAGGGTTAGGTGAAGTCCACTGACCCATGTCTATGACCAGCACAACATTTCCTACAATTTGACCTAAAATGGTTGATAAAGACTGCAAATTATGAGGGCAAGTTGTTTTGAAAAATTACACAATATTTTTCAAGCTCCACTCCACGGAATTTAGACTGCAGAGTTGCCATGGTGACATCCCATGTGACTTTGATGTTCTAGAACTTAAATATGGCTTTGTGACATCACATGTGGCTTTGATGTTAGAGTATATATTAGATGTTATTTCTCTTGTTATTTCAGTAGACAGCATCACACTCTCATAGCAAGACAAGCTCTTCTGAATCTACTCAACTTGGATACTATTTGGAAACACTTGATAGGAACAATACACATATATATATATACATATATATACATATATATATATATATACACATATATATATATATATATACATATATATACACATATATATATACACACATAAATATATATATATACACATATATATATATACACACATATATATATACACACATAAATATATATATATACACATATATATATATACACACATATATATATACACACATATATATACACACATTTATATTTTCAAATATACTCAACTTGGATACTATTTGGAAACGCTTGATCGGAAAAATGTCTCAAAACGAAATGAACAAGGAGTTTCAGCTAAAAAAGCATGACATACTCTGCAACAAGTCTGTACAATACCGTGTTTTAGACTTCATTGGAGAAGGATGTTTTGGCAAAGTTGCCAAGTGTATCAATTTAAATACATCCGAGACTGTGGCCATCAAGATCAACAAAGAGTTGATAGATCACGTTGCAGAAGTGAAAATGCTGGAACAACTCAGGACCCTTGACCCAGAGGTAAACAACTTGGTAAGATTTGAAGACAGTTTCATATTCAAAGGCATGTCTTGCATCGCCTTCCAGATGCTGGACAGGAGCCTTTGGGATTTGATGTATGAGAGACCGGCAGTACTGACCCTGAATGAAATCCGCCCCATTGCACGTCAGCTACTTGTAGCATTTAAAGCCCTGAAGGGTATCGACCTCCTTCACACAGACCTGAAACCTGACAATGTTATGCTTGTCAACCACCAGGATGATCCCTTCAGGGTGAAATTAATTGACTTTGGTTTGGCCATTCCAGCCTCAGAAGTAAGAGAAGGAATGATTATGCAACCTTGTGCATACAGAGCTCCAGAGGTGACCTTGGGCCTCCCCATATCTGAAGCCATCGACATGTGGGCACTGGGCTGTCTCCTGGCAGAACTGTTTTTTGGCCGGGGCCTCTTCACTGACAACTCAACATACAACGCAATGAAAACTGCTTGCCATCTACTCGGCCAGCCAGAAGACCACCTGCTGAATGCTGGAAAGTACACCAACCAGTATTTCAAAAGGGATTACTGCTCTCCCAATTCAAGATGGAGACTAAAGACATCAAAAGAGTACAAGGACGCAACCGGTATCCAGACAATTTCAAATTGGATTTTCGACACTGTCGGAACTTTGGATGAAGTAGTAGAGTACAACTCAAATGCAAATACTTGTGTTGAACATGAAGACATAATGGCATTTTTAAATCTCCTGAAACGGTTGCTCGATCCAAATGCTGCAACCAGAATCACCCCCAGTGAAGCCCTAGACCATTGTTTTGTTACAATGGCTCACTTGGTAGATCACATAGAGACCTATTCTTATCCAAATGCTGCCTATGATTTGATGACCGTCTCCCCCCCATTTGATTCAGAGGAATGTGATGAATCAACTGACTCAAGAGATGGATTCTCAGACACAGACAGCTCCAGGTATGAGACCGCAGACTCCATAGCATACAATGGTGATCCTCCAACTCCACAACAACCAATTCAGATACAAAAGAATGACATACTCTGTAACAAGTCTGTACAATACAGAGTATTGGACTTAATTGGAGAAGGAGGCTTTGGAAAAGTAGCCAAGTGTGTCAACTTGAAAACAAAGGAGATTACGGCCATCAAGATCCACAAAGACCTTATAGATCACATCACAGAAGTGAAAATGCTGAAACAACTCAGGACCCTTGACCCAGAGGAAAACAACTTGGCTCACATGGAAGATCACAAGGATACCTATTCTTATCCAAATGCTGCCTATGATTTGATGGTCGATGGTAGCATACAACTGTGATCCTACAACTCCACAAGAACCAATTCAGATAAAAAAAGAATGTCATGGAGTTATTTACTGCAAGCTCACTTACAAGTAATTAGTGGAGGAAAAATTATTCAGATGGGTAGAAGTACCCTTGCAGTAGATAACCCCACGCCCCCCAACCCCCTCACCCCCACCCCCCAACCCCCCCAACCCCACCCCCAACCCCACACCCCCCAACCCCCTCACCCCCACCCCCCAACCCCCCCA